TTATTTTGCAGAACCATGGATTGAACTCAGGCCCTTGCGCTTGCCAGGCAAGCACTTATTCTACTGAGCCATCTCCCCAGCTCCTTTCTATTTTATTTTAAAAGATGGTATTCTTTGACAAAATTTTTGTGTAACTTTTCTCTTTGTATGTATTATACAGCCTAAATCTGTCATTGTTGGATTAATTAAAGAAATGATTGCCAAGTTTCAAGAGGAACTTCCCTTATATTCTCTGCCATCGTCTGATGAGGCTCGGCAGGTAGACTTGCTGGCCTATATTGCAAAAATCACAGAAGGTTTGTATTTTTGCTGATCAGATTGCCTTAAGAGTTATGCATCTGTAGTTTCTCATAATGTCCTTTACTCCTTGCTACTTGATTTCTGTAAATGTGTGCATGTGTGTATACATATGTGTATATACATATTCATATTTGTGTTTAATGAAAAATTCCTGTATATCTATCATAAGGTATTATCATACAGTTCTAACAAATACAATTTCCTAAAATATGAAAACTTACTTTATATTGACAAATAAAATAATTCTTGTTTTGTTGTTGTTGTCTGAAACAGGGTCTTGTTGTGTAGTTCAGGCTGGCCATGAACTCATTATGTAGCTCAGGCTGGCCTCACACTCAGCAGTCCTCCTGCCTCGGCATCCTAGTGCTAGGATTACAGGCATGATCACCATGCCTGGCCATAATTCTTGTTTTGTTTACCTCATCCATATTAAGGATCCAGAACCCTTTTCATTATATGTTTATATAGCTTTTTGGCTTGTTCAGCACCCTGGACCACATGGAATTCTTACTGCTTCTCATTGAGAATAAAGACAAACACTTAACACTTTTCAGCAGGGTGTAGGCCAAAGCAGTAAGCATCAGAATGTCTTTCAGAATTCTAGAAACCTGACTTTTTAGAGTCTTCTATGGTATTTTTTTTAGATTTTTGAAAAGATAGCTTTTTTAAAAAATGATAGCCTACTTAGGCTTTCAAGGTCAGTAAAGACTTGGGACATAGGAGAACCTGTATTGTAACATCAAGCAAGTTTTGCTTTGTTTTGTTTTTGGCAGAACCAGGGATTGAACTCAGGCCCTTGCACTTGCCAGGGAAGCGCTTATTCCACTGAGCCATCTCCCTGGCCTGTAACATCAAGTAACTCAGTTGTGCTCCAAATTTTCTGACCCAGGAGATTATGGGGCCACAGAGGAATGTGATCGATGATGTATATATAGTGTGTCTGAGGAGAGTCACATGGAGCGAAAAAACATTCTCTCAGGCTTTCACAGAGAGCAAATTGGTCAAGCAATGACCATGACTCATCCTCATGGCTGACACTGACAAAAGATCTACAAAGTGCAGTACAGGGGCCTGATTGACCTTATCAGATACAAAAGTTACATTTCTTGTTATATAGATCTTGCTTTATTTTGGTCTTAACCACCCAGCAGAAAAGTATAAAAACAAGATATATAAAATAAAGACATTAATGTGATGAGCTGTAAAAGGCTCAAATCAATAACTTCTGAGGATAACCCACTAAAATTATAGACTGCTAGACAGTATTGGATTGTTTAGCTGAATTCAAACACCGATAGTATTTAGATACCAATAGACTATCCATCTCCGACAGGACTAAACAAAAAAAAAGGGAATACGAAGGAAAGATCATTTTGTATTTATATATACAAAATCGTTAGGATAGATATACAGCTACTTTCGCTTAATTCAATGAGAAGAAAGAGGTGTACTAATAGTGTTTGGACAGGATATCCTGTGTGCTTCTTGTCCTGTGGATAACCACTAAGAAAATAACAATGTACAACATATTAATTATCAAAACTGTCCTATTAATCACCTTTGAAACTGTCTCATTCATATTTGTTTCTCAATAAAGTTAAAATTAAATTTAAAAACCAAATGAAATTTAAAAGTACAATACATACTTTTCCTTTGACAGATTTTTTTATGTCCTGTATACACCTAGGTTAACAGTATACTTAGTTTGTTTTGTTCGGGTGCTGCAGATTGAACCCAGGGTGGCAAACACAGCAAGTGCCACATGCGCTCTAGCACTGAGCTGCGTGCCCAGCCCGTCTGCTTGTTAGCATTTTAATAAAATATGTTGGGGCCGGAGAGATGGCTCAGTAGGATAAACGCTTGACTGGCAAACATAAGGATCTGAGTTCAATCCCCGGTTCCGCAAAAAAATAAATAAA